ACAATTCTAGCCGGACTTTCACCTGTTGAATCGTGAACAGCCGCTCTGTAAGCCATTAAAAATAGAGGCAAATGCTTGTCCCAATCTCGTTGGTTCTTTGCGACCACTTTTGTCAGGTGTTCCTCTATGGTCTTATTGAATCGTTCCACCATGCCATCAGATTGAGGGTGTAAAGGTGTTGTCCTTCTCCATGATCTCACAAACTTTCTTAAAGATGGTAGATTCGAAGTTTCGTCCCTGGTCTGAATGTAACTCTAGTGGCACACCATGACGACTAAAAACTTCGTCCACTAGCACCTGGGCAACAGTGATGGCTTCCTGATTGAGAATAGCGAAAACTTCTGGCCATTTACTGAAGTAATCCATGATAACTAAGATGTATTTGTTACCACGCTCTGACTCTGGGAATGGTCTAGCAACATCTATCGCTATTCTTTCAAATGGGAGACCGACGTTGTACTGTTTCATGGGCCCCCGAGATCTTAGTTTAGGGCCTTTACTGGTAGCACAGATGTCGCATTTTCGGCACCAGCTTTTAACGTCTTCATGGTAGTGAACCCAGTAAAAACGTTCCCGAATTTTGTCCAAAGTCTTGTTAACTCCGAAATGTACCCCTGAGGTTCCGTCGTGTATTTCTTTTAATACATCTTCCACTCGGTCTTTTGGGATAACCAGTTGGGTCTTAGTGGATTTCCCATCGGCACTTTCCCAAACTCTTTTGAGCAAACCATTTTCTACGGCCAGAGAGTTCCACTGGGCCCACAACGCCTTGTAAATCAAGCTTTTGTTTGACACTTCCCCCCATTCTGGCCTACATTCATCATTTTCTTTAAGATGTAGAATTGGCCCGATGTCCTGGTCTGCCTCCTGATCTTCTCTCATTTGCTTGGTAGTCCATTTGTCATCGACGATCAGGCCCGTTCTTCTTACAGCTGGACTAGTGTTTTTCTCATGTGGGTTTCCAGGTCGATGTTTAGGACTAGCGTCTCTGGACCTCCAAAAGCTTTGGGAACGATCCCTAGATGGAGAGGTCATCCTTAGTCTACAATCCCATTGCATGTGTCCAAGCCTTTGACACCGGTAACATTTTACTCGGTTTCTTGGTGTTGGTGTTTGCTTGTTGTTTTCCATTTGTCTAATTTCTAGTACTAGTTTCTTCATCTTTTTCGTGAACTTACTCATAAGATTCTTGAAGCTACCATCTTCTTTTGACGTTTGTTCATCCTTTGGGTCTTGAATGGTCACTGTTCGTATTCTGGGTGTTGAAGCACCAAAGATTGCTTCCAGTTCTAATGCTCGGACAAGGGCTTCGCTACTTTTCCTGAACTTGGACATTCTTAGGTTTTCCTGGATTTTGGAATCCCGGAGACCATCAATAAACGTAGATACTGCCATGCATTCTTGTATGTCTTCCCCAGCTGCCGGAAACGCCAAACTCACTAGCCTTTTAACTTCCGATTCGAATTTTTGTAGACTCTCGCCGGGTTTTTGAACTCTTGATTTAACTTGAGTTCTGAATACTTCTTGTCTGTAATGGTCTCCGAAGCGCAGTTCTAAAGTTTGACTCAGATGCTGGTAATTCTGTTGGTAGACTGAAGGAATGGACTGAAGAAGGTCTAAAGTAGTCGAGTGGTTATGGCTTCAGGTTCTTGAGCGAATGGTCAACGGTTCGATCCCACTTCTGACACCAGTGTCGCGGCTTTGAATCGCCGGACAGAAATCTTGGGTTCGTCGTTCGTTTCGTTTATTCCAAAAATCAAAGTCCAATTAACACAGCAATAATTTATTCCACTTAACAATACTCTCTGACACTAATTACTTTACTAACTCAACAATTAAACTCTTTACAATCACTATTTAAATCGTATCACAGTCGAACTGAAACTAATTTGCAAGCTAAAACCCGTCCTTATATATATCCCTAAATCTATTCCTGTAAAATCTAGAACACACACGATAATGTTATTTCTCGATTATAGTAGAATAATTCGCTAGATTCGAGTATTTTCACCGTCGATTCTTGACAGTCTGGCGGACGATATCGTGACAATATATTAATAGTTCCACGGTTGCTGAAGCTTTAGTTTCTCAGTGGATAACTAGATTTGCTATACCATCAGCTTTTATTACATCTGATAGAGGATCTCAATTTGAGTCAAAATTATTTAAAGAATTAATGTTAACTCTCGGCACTCACCACATTAAAACAACAGCTTATCATCCCATTTCTAATGGTGTTATTGAGCGATTTCATCATGACAGCGGTTGATGGTGTTCATTGGGTGGTCCATTTGAAGTTTTAGAAAAATCAAATAATTTTTTTAAAATAGAGTTAAACGGAAAATCCTATAGTGTATCACTTATCGTATTAAACCTATTAGGTAAAAATAAAATGTAATTTGAATTCATGGAAAAATCACCTACTTAACTGACTTAGATGTATGGATTTTTTTATTGAATGTTTGGAACTTGGAAAAGAAATATTGTTATCTAAATTTAAAAATTTTGTATTGCTCGAACTTCAAAAATCAATTTATATTTTCCAAATGAAATTTTACTTTATTCTAAATTCATTCGCCGACTTCCAGCATATATTTCTCTCTTACCGTTTACAGGTTATATTTTCCAAAATTACCATTCCAAATTTAATTTTTCGTTTTCCAAAATTGAAATCACTATTTCAAACTTCAATCTACCTACATCTCCCAAAATTGAACATACAAATCCAAAATTTATTTTACACAATAAAAATGAACAATAAAAAGTTCATCCAAATAATAACTAGAAATGGTGTGGTTCCAATTTAAACAAAAATAAACTTGAAAACTACTTCGACATAAAAAACTTACCAAAAAAGTATATCGAAACCAAATAGAAAAAAATAACAACCGCACTTTCGCGCTTCACTATACAAAAACCTCTTCTTCGTTTTGTCATATTCTTGTCCGATTATTTCAATTCAAATTACACCGCAAAACGAGCTCAAATTAAACCACAAAATAAACAAATAATCCTCGTTCGCTTATTTGAAGTATGCGACTTTAAACGCGGTGCGGCAGTACTGAAAGTGAAAGTGGGTACCTAACATAATATGAAGACTTTTTTGCCAGTATGAGTAGGAACCAACACAAACTGAAAAATATTATTTATTTTTTTTTAATTATAGGATGTTTTTGATATTGTAGTGTTAATATTCAGTTTGGGTACCGGAGGTAAGCACTTCTCTTCACTTATGTTAAACCATTCACCATGTGCAGCGAGATGTCTGCGATAAAGATGCAAACACTTTCGCTTCGGGTGGGACTTTTGATGACGCCACCGTCAACTATAAATAATAATTGAAACAAGATCGACATACTTTTATAACTGTTAATTGATTGTATTATCAATGATTTCTCATTCGTTTTGTCTTGAGTAGATAAAAGGCAAGACAGAGAATAATGCGCTCTGAACTGCATTTATAGTTATTTACCTAACTAGTGCGGAAAGTGAAGACTGATGAATGATGATAATGACAGCTGCGTGCGGAAAAGACACTTTCCGCGGGCTATTTTTGCTACAAGCGCATAAAATAAGATAGGAAACATTATGAAACAACAATTTTTTTAAATTGGGAATATGGAAAACTAATCTAATTGATATTTTTCTTCAAGCGAGCGACAAGCTGCTACTTTCTGCATGCTTGTAGAGAAATGATTTTTTCGCCTTCGGTATTTTTTGGTGGATTTAAAGATCAATTCTCTCCAATCCAATACGTCGGTATAATGACAAGAAAAACATTCACGCAGGAAAATGTAAAAAAAAACTAGACAATTTTTGGGATTCTGGTTTATGTTATTGTATTGCTAACACACATAAGATTGGCGCTAATTAAAAAAGATACCATAAATTGATTAATTTTCTGGTTTTTTTTTTAGTTTGAATTACATTCTTGTAATTTTTTTAGAACTCGTTTCTATTACCGGATTTCTAAAAAGATAGCGCCATTGGTTTCTATATTATAAATCGAATGCAAAAAATAAATTTGATATAACTTCAACTGCTAAAAAGTTACGTTGAAATTAAGAACGCAATGCATTCCTTGTTTCATTCATCTCATTCCCACTAAGTATAAAGCAATTATGCTAGGCGGCATAATGTTTTATTAGTACCAGCCCCAAAATACCTATGTAGAAATAATATTTGGTTCCCATACTTTTTAGGCTGTAAAACCTAAACCCTTTTAGTGGGCTTTTATGGCAGGCAATTTTGGTAAAGAAACTTTGGGGTTTTCGGTTGGATTTTGGATGTAAAAAGGGAAAGGGACGGGTAGTCTTGCTCGAATAGTCGAACAATAAAGTCGTACTGAAACCGAAAGCTATTTTGTTTTATTTGGAAAAGCGTCGTGTTTTTGCGATTTTTACAAATCAGAAGTGGAATTACCTATCGCCGCCGCCGCGCTGGTCGAGAAGTTAGCGTTATTATTCTGATACCGAATCTGAGTCAATTATACCGCGATCTAGATCTGGATTCTAGAACGGGAAACCGTAGAGTGAGCGTCAAAGAAAAGAGCCGTCGCGTAAGCGGAAAAAGGCGAAGTGAATTATCGCCATCGTCCTTCAGTGGATCGCGTTCGCCCCGAACACCCGAAAAGCGTAGTAAAAGACAAAGAAGACGCGATCGTTCTACCTCCGAAGAGGAAAGTGCGCGACAAAAATTAAAAAGACTAGAGCGCTTTGAACAATACGCGTCAAGCGTGAAAAGTGCAATTGATGAAAACCTCATACCTGTATTCGACCCGCAGGATAAGGAAAAGTGTGTAGAAAAGTGGGTAGCTAGAGTGGACGAACTGGCAGAATGCTATGGGTGGAGTAGTATAACGGTTGGAAAATTAGTCATTAGCAGGCTACAGGGATTGGCTCGTAGATGGTACGACACCCAGGATCACTTCAACCCGAAGTGGGGAAAAATGAAGGAACTTTTAATAAAGCAATTTACTGCGGGAAGCAGCAAACTATCAGGCACTACCAGGACAAAATCTGAGTGAGTACTGTTTCAATAAACTGGATAAATTAAAAGAACTGAAGATCGATATTCCACAAGATTATTTGGCGGATGCAATTATAACAGGTATCAATAATGAAGATGTAGTTCGCGCAGCCAGGTCGTCTAAATTTAGTGATACTAACGAACTGTATGCTTATCTGAGTACCCTAAACAACTTACCCCAAAATTTCACTAGATTAGAAAGAAAGCAATTTGTTTATCAGCCCAGTACATCTGCAGCGGATGCGAAAAATTCCGTTAATAGCAATAACAAAGTTTCAAAAGGCGTAATTTGCTTTAATTGTCAAGGGCAGCACTACTTCAAAAACTGCCCTAAACCTAAATTAGAATGCTTTCACTGCAAAAAATTAGGCCACAAGCAAAATCAATGTCCTTTGAAATCGACAAAGAATAGTTTTAAAAAACAGCGTACACGCAGTAGATAAAACTGGAGAGCCAAATCCATACATAATGCCTGTTAATCTGAATGGAATTAAGTTCAAATGCTTGGTAGACACTGGCAGCACCCGCACGTTGCTAAAACGAAGTGTTATTGAGAAATTGGGACTTCGAATCGAAAATAATGATATTGGAAAACTGGTATTGCGAGGTTTTTCTGGAAACTTGGTAGTGAGTGAGGGCACTGTGGCAGTTAGGATACGAATGGACAACGCTTGTGCTGAATTGGAAGTCATAGTACTCGATGACGAGCAAATGATGCATGACTGTATAATCGGCTGCGATTTTTTGAATTTACCACAAGTACTTTTTTACAAAAATGATAAAGGTTTTGTTATCAAAGGACTAAATGTCAGAAGAACTTACATGTTTTGAAGTATATGACGATTCTAGACTAAATATAAAAACAGTTATTCTCAATGAACTTGATAATTTACCAAAATATGAAAAAAAGAAGTGTTATGAATTATTAATGGAATTTCGAGACAGAATTGCGACGTCGATGGCAACTTTAGGAAAAACTAGTGCTGCCAAAATGAAAATAAAGTGCATCACGGACGAGCCTATTGTTTACAATCCTTATCGCATGTCTCTATCAGAAAAAGCTATTTTGGGAAAAATGATAGACGAATTATTGCAGAATAACATTATTAGGGAATCCCAATCGCCGTACGCTAGCCCGGTCCTATTAATAAAGAAAAAGACAGGTGACATGCGTATGTGCATAGACTTTCGTAGACTCAATGCCGTTACTATAAAAGATAAGTACCCTTTGCCCTTAATTGAAGAACAAATCGATAAATTAGCAGGCAATAAATATTTTACGGCCTTAGATTTGGCGTCGGGTTTTTATCAGGTACCAATGAATGAGAATTCTATAGCAAAAACAGCTTTTGTGACCTCGGATTCGCATTATGAGTTTCTGCGAATGCCATTTGGGTTGACTAATTCGCCAGCCGTCTTCCAACGCCTAATGAACAACGTATTGGGCAGCTTAAAAAATAAAATCGCATTTCCATACATTGACGATATCATAATCCCATCAGAGACCGTAAAGCAGGGGCTGGAAAACTTGCGCTTAGTACCAGAAGCCTTAAGAAAGCACCAGCTTACCCTTAAGCTTAAAAATTGTTCCTTTTTTCAAACCAATATCGTCTACCTTGGTAGAGAGATATCAGCGGATGGAGTTCGTCCAGGTCAGGATAAAATCAACGCTGTCTCCAGAATGGAACATCCGACGACCATTAAACAAGTTCGCCAGTTTTTGGGTTTAGCTGGGTATTTTCGGAGATTTTGTAAAGATTTTGCCAGAATTTCAGAACCTATATCACGGTTGACACGAAAAGATGTACCTTGGCAATGGCATGACGAGCAACAAAACGCATTTACAACCTTAAAAAATATGTTAATATCTAGACCAATCTTGACTATATTTGACCCTAATCTGATGACAGAGTTGCACACTGACGCTAGCTCACTAGGTTTTGGAGCTATACTTCTCCAAATAAAAGGAAACGAAACCCATCCCGTCGCTTATTATAGTCGACAGACTACAATAGATCAGAGACAGTATCATTCGTATGAATTGGAAATGCTAGCAGTAGTTTCAGCGCTGGCGCATTTTCGGACATATCTCCTGGGGATCCAATTTACCGTGGTTACGGATTGTAATGCCTTACGTACCACATTTTCCAAAAAAGATTTAATACCCAGAGTCGCCAGATGGTGGCTAGGAGTACAGGAGTACACATTTGAAATTAAATATCGACCCGGTGCCCGTATGCCTCACGTAGATGCTCTTAGCAGGTATCATATCAATATTGTTGAACTGAACAATATTGACCTAACTGAGGGCGATTGGATTGTAGCAGCACAGCTCCAGGATGAACAAGTATCGAGAATTCATGAGATTTTACGACAGAATAAAGCCGATATTGCTTGCAAAAAGTATTTTGAAGAATACGAGTTGAAACGCGGAAAAGTCTACCGAAAGCTTCCAGATGGTAAACCATTGTGGGTGGTTCCGAAGGCGGCTTGATGGCAAATCTGTATTTTATGCCATGATAAAAACGGACACGGTGGAATAGAGCAAACAATTCGTCGAATTAAAATGAATTATTGGTTCCCAAAGATGCGACGATTTGTAACTAAATACGTTGGTGCCTGTTTGAATTGTTCTTATTATAAAGATACTACTCACAAAAACAGAGGTAAAGTACACCCGATTGAGAAAATTGCAGTACCTTTCCATACTATACACATAGACCATGTCGGACCTTTCGAGACTAGCTCAAAAGGAAATAAATACATACTAGTAATCGTGGACGGATGTAGTAAATTCACCATTATCGAACCAGTGAAAAATACAAAAACCAAGACAGTGGTAAGGATACTGGAAAATATAATGTGTTTATTTGGGGCCCCTAGTCGTATCATAAGTGACCGAGGATCTGCCCTTACCTCTAATACTTTTAAATTGTTTTGCGAAACCTACGCAATAAAACATGTCCTAAATGCAGTCGCTTGTCCTAGAGCGAACGGACAATGCGAAAGGTACAACAGAACAATAATAAACATGCTGGCCACTACTACATCAGAGGACAAAAGCGAGTGTTGGGACGGTTGTGTAAAAAACATTCAAAGTGCCATAAACACAGCGTATAATCAGGGTATCAATACGACTCCGGCCCAAGTATTGTTTGGGTATTTGCCAAAATCTATGGTTGAGGCTAAACTTCTGAATTCCGTTCAAACAGAGCTTGACAGGTTGGATATCACACTTTTAAGGGCTCAAGTCGAAAAGCATATTTCCGAAAACCAAAAACTCCAAAAAGAAAGGTTTGATAAGAAGAGGAAGGACGCAAAAAAGTACAATAAAGGTGAATTAGTTTTGGTGCAAATTACCAGTGACCCAAACACAGGTAGCAGAAAGAAGCTTAATGCGAAGTTCAAGGGTCCATTTAAAATACTAAACGTATTGTTAAATGACCGTTATGAAGTGGGAGATCTTAGGGAAGGTCGCCAACACATGAAAAAGTCGGTTGTGGCCCCCGACAGAATGAAGCCCTGGGTAACCATTCAAAATGACGAATAAAGGAAAGTGTAGACAGTTTCGGGAGTTGTAGCTGCAGTGAATCTGACGAGTTGTAGCTCACTGACGTAAAAGGGGTTGTAGCCCTAGTAAATAGACAGTTTCGGGAGTTGTAGCTGCCGTGGATCAAGTGTGTTGTAGCTCACTGATTGGAAAGCGGTTGTACGAACAGATAGTCTCGGGAGTTGGAGCTTCCTGATAGCTTGAAGGAGTTGTCGCTCCCCGTGTGGAAATGGGTTGTAGCCCTAGTATACTAAGTCAGTTTGGGGAGCAGTAACTCCCACTGGAATTGAATGTGTTGTAGCCCTTGAAGTCGATTATTTTTTTGAAATATTGTGGAAACCTTAATTGTTTGTTAGATATAATTAATTTAGTCATATACTTAATCCCTCCTTTTTCCAAAGTGGTTGGGGTCAACCACGATGCAGGATGGCCGATTGTAAAGCAATTATGCTAGGCGGCATAATGTTTTATTAGTACCAGCTCCAAAATTCCTGTGTAGAAATAATATTTGGTTCCCATACTTTTTAGGCTGTAAAACCTAAACCCTTTTAGTGGGCTTTTATGGCAGGCAATTTTGGTAAAGAAACTTTGGGGTTTTCGGTTGGATTTTGGATGTAAAAAGGGAAAGGGACGGGTAGTCTTGCTCGAATAGTCGAACAATAAAGTCGTACTGAAACCGAAAGCTATTTTGTTTTATTTGGAAAAGCGCCGTGTTTTTGCGATTTTTACATAAGAAGTATTAATAGGGGAGGAAGAATACAATGATAGACTGCGTTAGGTGCTTCGTACAGGAAAAAATATTTTGGCATTGAGGCGCATTCAATCCCCTTTTAAGGGCCGGTATTATAAACCCGGTTGACCAAAGGTTGAGTTTCAACCAGCGCACAGTGCGATATTTTGGCAATCTAGGTGGAATTTTTTTTTTTAAATAAAATTAAATATACTCAAGCATCTCAACTGAAATATGTTTGCCTATTGTTCCTTTAGTAACACCTTATCTATATTTTGTCAGAACAACCATATTTTCGAAGCAAAAAACTTATGTAAACGTGTTTTTTTCATTCGTGATAAGAATCAAAATAAAATTGCTGGTATTTCATTTCTGTTCTTTAAAGGTCTACTATCTACTTGCATTGCTCGGTAAGATATAAGTTTTATATTTTTGATCTGCCAATATTAGAGGTAAGTTATTTTGTATATATTTTCTTTTAAATTGGGTTGAACTATTCACAAATCTGAAACATTACGGCTCTTCTGTGATCTTCGTAAAACCACTATTTACAGAGGTTCTAGAGGCATTAAGTTAATTATACCAAAATTATACGCTAGAAAAACTCGTTGTTGCGGTTGTGATTTATTGAGTGCTCCTATAAAATCGGGAATTTAGCTAATTTAAAGTGAAAAATCAAATATAAAAATTAGATCAGCGGACTGAAAAAAAATGTCTTTACAAGTTGTGCTAAAATTCAAATTCGAAAAATTGAATTAAAACCATAATAATTTAATTCGAACAATAAATAGTTGATACAATAAAAAACGTGTAGAACTCGTCACCAACATTGCTTTGTTGAAAATTTGCATATTTTTTTGTGGTAGTAGCATCAATTTATCCTTATCTGTGTCTGAGAATTACTATTTACTTCCTTGGGCCAAATAAACATTTGGTAAAGTAAACAAACATTGGATAAAACAGCAGGAACTTGAAAATTGGCACAATGAGTGATCATGAGGAGGACATAAATTGCAAAATATGCAAAAAAGATGTACAGGAAGGTGATAATGGGTTGTACTGTGAGGGAAAATGCCAGTCATGGTATCACATAGCGTGTGTTGGTATAAGAGCAAGCAAGTACAAACTTATCAGTAAAGAGATATCGGAATTACTATTTTTTACTGATCTTGAAAAGGTAAACAATGAAGCGAACAAAAATTTAGAGAAAAATTATGAAATTTTGCATCAACTCTAAAGAATCTGAAGATAAAGATTCCTGGTGTAAGCTTAAACTATACAAAGGAACAATTTGAGGCTCAACTGAGGAAACAAAATTCAATTATAACGGATAATGAACATTTTCAAGTGACATACATAAAAACATTTCAAGACAAAGCCACAGGAACACTTTATGCCGAATGCTCTCCTAAACTTTTCGAAAACCTTCTTGTTTGCAAAAAGGTTTATCTGGGATGGGAACGTTTCCCAGTCTATGAGGATTTGAGCGTCCTAAATTGCTACAATTGCCAGCTATATCATCACAAAGGAGGTGACTGTGTGAATAAGCAA